AATTTCCACACCTTTTCAATTTTAGAACGTAAACCAAGAAAAAGAAGTGCAATAAATTAAGTGCCTTCCATCCCACATATCTTTGACGTTTGATTATTTGCTTTGTCTGCAGAGACACGCAATCAAAGCTTTTTGACGACAACCTGTCATATGCGGTTGCAGAAGTTAATTTGCTTATTATCTTCAAATGACGACGTATCCAGTGATATTTCGTTGTTCTGAATGTACAATAGAATTGCGTAAGTTGATATTTGATTCTCTATTTCACTTGGATGATGTGTGGTCGTGAATTATTCAACCTCTGATATATTAATTACTCATTTAAATGTTACCGGCTTCTTTTTCATCTATCTACCTGTTGCTTTATTCGAGTTCTTTTACAGCAAGCCTTGAACTCTTGGAAAGCCATATCTGGAGCAGACACCTGCACAATTTCCCTTTCAGCTGTGCAGTATGCAGATTTCCTGCCATAGCTCACAGCTCTTTAGTAGCGCATTTCAAGCAAGCTCATTCTCCTGGACAGGTTCGTGATGTTCTTCGATATTGTATTTCGTGTTTGTACTTCTTCAATGCGTAAAAAACCTATTTGTCGCATAGATAAGTAGCTGCTGGCGTCGTTTGCTCTTAAGTTATTTTGTCGTAAAATTCTCCCTTGATCTTGTATACTAGTAAATGCTTAAGGTCTCAAAAGTAGCGCTTCGTAAACACTTTCGTCCTACTAGTATTACCCGTAGTGAGTACGACCAGATGAATGACTTGGGCTTAAGAAGTTGGCGAAAATTTGTACTCATACTTGTCTTTCTTCAGCACAGCAGCGATTTGTCCTCTCAAGTCTTTAGATCACAACTTTCCACTTCTAATGTTCCGAAAATGATAAGAAAACTCTTTCTAGTGTAACAATTTCCAGAGAATTTGAGGGAATTCAAGGAAGTAATAAAATTTATGTAATCAGCAGAGTAGTTAGATTCAATCCTGGTAACCATACAGCTCATATGTGTATGAGCTGCGGTTTGCCGACCATTTGGAACTGGAACCATGCATCGTGTACTTTGGCGAAAGCTATTTGGTGTTTCCTTTGTTTATCGTTGCTATTCGTCAACTATTAGTGTTTTTCATGTTCGCTAGCTTTTTCATTCTAAATTACTAAACAGATTGTGTAGAAAGTTTACGGAGGTCTTAGGCCGTCAAGTGTAGGTCACGCGAACTCGAAAGTGCTAGGTGATGCGCTGAAATTGATTTCGGTATTCGGAGAGATGTTAGGTTGTCATTGAGGTCATAACTGGACTTTTTTTCGAGATATCTCTTGTAACCAATCGTTTCTAATTGTTTAGATTGTTAATCAAGTTTCTCACATATTTCTTAGCTACTGTTTCTTGACCAGCTAGGAATTCCTTACAGTTACCAACCACTGTATTTTCCTTGGAGTGGACCGTGCGTGGGCATACATGAACTAACACGTGCTTTAAATGGGAAAATAAAATATAGAAAATTCGATCAATAAGGTCATATACGTTTTTTCTGGTTATTTTGGGGAAAAAGATGACAACATGTGGAGATAAGCACAGAACGGCGGTCCGCAACAGTATTTGAAGAAAGTAAGTGATGTGTAAGTAGTTTCTTAGCGGTTTTCGTCAAGATCGTAGGCTTGAACTCAATTCGTGAAGTCAAAAGTAAGTCATTGCGGCTGTTGTGGAAATAGTAAGAGGATCTTGTAAATGATTTTTTTTGTAAAAATTCACCTAGCATAAGACGATAGTGCAAACGCACTTAATTTTAATTCATAAGATCCAAGTCAGCAAAGCTCAGGAAGCCCTCTTTTTTTTTACCATATCTAATTTTTGTCAGAAGTTCGTTTAGCGTTGTAGTCCGGAACAGATTCATTCAAAATTCACGGAACAGCTGAGGATTTTCCATTTTTATGTCAAATTTCTCGGAAAGTTTTTTTT